TTAAGGCAAAATGGCTACTCGAGTGGCTACTTGTAAATATTCCTGGTGTTTCTTCACTAAAAAGAGTATCTTGGGGTGGCAAAAGAGCTAATTCTGTTCGAGAGAAGTGTTCTACAGATGCCTACTCCTGGTTCTGCGACTGATTGCTGTCTCTACTCTCTACACGTGTCTAAACACGTGTCATAACTATTAATTAATGATCTGTTGCACGCCCAATTTAATGTTTACTTCCTCTACAGTAACGTGTGCATTCTATTTCCGTGAACGTGTCCCTTTAAGATACATACATTAGTCGATATTTCGTGTCTGTACCTGTTGCACTTCATAAATAAGAGGATTTGTTTCTTTAAAATGTGCTTTTCTCCATATTTATGGGCGTGTGGACTCCACCCACCCTCATCGTATCTGAAATTTTGAAGACAACATACATAAGGCCGATGCAGTAGATTGTGGTGTTTTCGTTTACATGGTAAGATATGACCTTAAATTATTGCACTAATTTTTCTTAAAACAATGCAGGTAGCAAATATTTCATTGAAAAAAGAAAATGAATTATTGTCAAGTAATAGTACAATTATTATTTTAAGTATAAAAGTATTATACTTAATTTTGTAGGATGATATGGAGAATGCAAGAATTGAAATTCTGGGAATTATTTTGAATTCATGTAAGATACTTGACTGCATGCATGATTATTTTCATTGAAATGCAGCTGGCCAAGCTGATATCAATACCTTTCAGTAATGAAGCACTATGGTGCAATGGACTCGCCTGCTGGAATTCACCTGAGTGATATGTATTACTTGTACTGTGAAATTTTAAGCAATTTGAAAATAATAATTATTATTGACTGCATACTTATATAAAAAATGATAATTGAAATAAGCTATGGGTGTGGTCAACAACTAAATCATATCATGGCACATGGGTAGGAGAAAGAAGAAAAGCTGAAATTTATTTTAGCATCTGAAGCTCTATTCCAAAAAAGAGTTGGCATGGAAAATTTTTCTAGATATTTAAAAGAGACTGAGAGAGTTTGATTGCTCCTGCTTTCCCTAGTGCCGCCTGAAAAATTCTCAAAGAGGCTAAATCACAAACTTTGAGCAACTGTAACTCACAAACAACAAAGTTAGGACAATATCGTTCTTTTTGTTTTTCGTTAGATGGGATTTTCTACCTCTGAAGCAAATCTCGGCTCTGTAGAGTGAAACACGAGCTCTCACCTGGAGAGAGGTCCCCTGGTTACAGTTCACAGCTTTTGGTGCCACGGGATGCTACAAGAGCATAACTAGATGAAAGAAAGCAACTTTATATGTTGCTAGAATAAGAAATAGAGCTCTAGACTGCTGAGACAAAAAGATAATTTTTTTACAAATCAATTAAACTGTGTGGACAGAATGACAACCCAACTGCTTAGTACCCGCCTACGCAAGCGTGGCGAGTCCAATAAAAGATGTGTTAGCACAAAGTAACACAAAGGCTACGTGGAGTCAAGAGGATTCAGCAAAGGAAATTATTACTGTAGGAAATTGTAATTTATTTTTAGATGACATAGCAAACCTTCTCAATGCGTCTTCATTATCTTTTGAATTTGACTAGGGAAAAGAATGGTATGTAAATCATTTTCCAGTATTGGATAGGAGCAAGAGTGACAGGTATATTTTTCTGAAAATATCATCGTATTATTATCATTATTATTGAATATATATTACTTAAATGTACATGCATGTCAACTTATAAAATTAATATTCTCTGTTACTATTAGTGATTGCATTTTTAAAAGAGATTTTATAAGAAAGGCAGTAAAAAAGAATGAGGTAACAAAATGGAATGCTACAGTTTTTCACA